GGCGCCGTAACTACGAAACGCCGTAAGTCGGGTCCGCGTAGCCCGAGGATATGTATATGAAAAACAAGTAAACGTTACTTTCAACTGATGGCAGGAGGATATGAGTTTAATTTTATCTCGTATTTCCATTATCTTCATTTCAGCTGTTTTTTATCGTAACTACTCAAACTATAAGTCTAAAACCATTAATAAACTTTAAGGATCGTAATTAAAACATAATCTTACGGCGAAATTGGAACTTGCATCATTTGGGAAGCCTTACTGTTTTGAGTTACACCAGCTCCATTTGTTTCAGATTCGCATTGTTTGCTGATGGCCACAAAACGAAGGACTGAGTAATTACACCGAAAATTAAGATGAAAGAAATACAAGCAAAAATCATAATAAAGTTAGTTTTCTTTAATATATCTCAGCACAAATGCATTTGTTATAATATCAGTCGTCTAGAAATGAACTTTTTCGTTGCATACGTCAGCAAAACTCAGCCGTACGTGAAATATAAATTATTCTATTCCAGTGGGTATTTTGATTAAAAACAAAGATATTGAGTTTCATGTAACGATAATTTTTGATACCCTTTCCTTGATATTTCAATAACATTTAGGTTAAATGATGTGTTTTATTACTTTCATTTGTGTAGTTATATTGTCCAACGAGACACAATTCTGTTGACTAGTGAGAACGAGGCCGATATCTATTTTTATCTACAAGAATTATTTACTATTGCATCACTGATAAAGAGACAACTTGAAGCATCGTATATGTGGTTCTGCAGAATGATGCTGAGAATGTCGTGAACAGAGTATGTAAGACAAATAAAAGTTTAAAAGAAAATAGAAACAAAACGAACACTTAGAATAATAAAAAAAAGACAGTTGAACTTTTTTAGGACGCATACCCAAAAAAGACAACATGGAGAATTTGACTCTTAATCAGGAGAACAGTACATAGCAATTGACGTCGCATTTAAATTTTTGTAGATTAAAGTTGGCTGGAAAGCATGGAACCGGAAGGGAGTCCCACAAGCAAAAAGTGCAAGAAAAGAAACTGTTAACATAGAACTTACGGCTACGTCTAGCCTGGCTCAATTGTAAATTGATGAGATCTTGACGCCAGTCTAATACTGCGCTTAAATAAAAATAAAAAAAAAAGTCTACGTACCACAGAAGAGTTCAATCCGAAAAATTAGTTAAAGCTTCAAAAGAAATTGTTACGGAAAAAAATCCCTTTTATAAGCGAGTATTTATAGAAAAGACACAGAGAGGCAACCTTACCAAGCCGTGTTGAAAATCCCATGGAGTGAACTTGAGAAAAACGAGGAATATTTAAGGAAGATCGAAAAAAAAAAAAAAAAAAACTTGATTAGAAAGAGATAATAGAAATTTCTAGACCCCTTAATGTGAAAAGAGCGCTTGAAGAATTTTCATAGTTAAGCCGTTCTGCCATTTCACGATATATAATGCTTAAAATGAATTAAAGTTTTGATTTCAACCAGTAGAAAGTTGCCACGGTATTATGTAAGGTTTAAGGAGGCTACTCTGGCCATTAACAGTGAGTTTACGTTAACAAACGGCTTGTGAGATTAACCTTCTAATAATTAGTCTATTCTACTGAACGCACTGTCTTTGCATGTTTGCACGAAGAGAGTATTCGTTTTTCGTATCTAAGTCTTTGGGATGTGTTTACGCGTGATCCAAGTAAGGAGAAGGTGTGTAAAGCCAGGTAAGATTAAAAAATTAATAAAGGAAAAACGAAAAATAACGATGAAAAAAAAAAGACCTAGATTCTGAGAGTGGGTCACAATGACCCTATTTTAGAGTCAGTAGTTCGTGCACGTCTGTTTCACTTCATCGGCTATCAGAGCTTACCTGAGAAGCAAGCGAACGAATTAAGACTTAAATATAGCAGCTTCATACTCCACCAGATACATTCGCCATGTTTTAAAATGAGAATATGCATATGTCTGTGCGTGTATATATGCATACGTACATGTGCGTACGCTTTGTGCATGTGGGGATATGTATTAATATACACACACGACACATACGCACACACACATATATTTAAAAAAAATAATTCACATATAGGCGTGTGTGTAAAGATTTATTGTACGAACGCGAGTCCGCACTTATTGGAGAGGCATAATTAGGATTGCATTTATTGATTACTTTAAGTGCATTGATAATTGATGGGTAATGAGAGAATGCCACGCAATATACATATATATATATATATATATATATATATATATATATATATATATATGTGTTTTTGTGTGTGTGTGTTTTTGTGTGCGTGCACGTGCGTGTGTATCTATATATTTAAATATAAGCAACAAAAATGTAAATATATATGCACCCACGAACATACACACGCACGCAGACACACTCAATCATACGCAAAAACCAACTTATCTTTATACGGAAATATATATATATATATATATATATATATATATATATATATATATATATATATATATACACGCACACACATACATATATGATGAGAATAAAGTTTTATGGTATGCTATATTTAATGGTAAAAGGTTCAATATCAGAGATAGGCTGGATGTAGATATAAAATATACAAGTGGACACTGAGATCAACACCGTGCGGCGACAGTCTGTTTTCATGCTTGAAGGCAATCTTCAAGCCAGGTTCTCGCCGCGCCGTGTTGACCTCTATGACTAATTTATATTTCGATCTCTCTCTATATATATATATATATATATATATATATATATATATATATATATATATATATATATATATATATATATATATATATATATATATATATATATAACCCTGAAATAGTCAGTGGACCAAGAACAGTTCCCCACACTAGTAGATTAAATACTGTTCAGTTTGGAATTCTCTGTAGGTTATCCGGATCGACATACACCTGATGAAGGCATTGAGAATACAATAATCGAAACCATGTGATAACAATAAGGCTAGGACAATAGGCCACGTGTTAATAGTGTAAACAATATTATATATATATATATATATATATATATATATATATATCAGGCCACGAGTCTAGCATGAAACAGACTGTCGCCTCTAAGTGTTGACTTCACTGTTCACTTTTTTATTTACACACGCTCTATCTCTGATATTAAGCACTTTATCCCATAAATATAGCACACCTTAAGACTATATTTCTTCATATATATATATATATATATATATATATATATATATATATATATATAAAGGTGAAGCTTATTTTAACGATGTTAACATTTGAGTAACTACTGAATGATGAAAAATATGTATATAGATAGGAATGTAAATATGCAGACATAATGTCTGTTTCTAAACTGCATGCTGTCAGGACGTACAAATATCGAAAGCCATTTATATATAAATACACACACACACACACACACACACACACACATATATATATATATATATATATATATATATATATATATATATATATATATATGTGTGTGTGTGTTTGTGTACGCCCGTACGTTTCATAAAACCGGGTGAAAGATGCCAGCGAGTGATCAGGGAGTAATGTCGACGTTTCTTTTTGACAGTTTTCTTTTATCAATTCCTGCGTGAATTTTTGGCGGGAAATTATCTGATCAACGTCATAACGTGTCTTCATCAGGCCGCTGCGTCTCATCCACACCAACCCTGTTCAGTTGGGTGTGGATACAATAGTAGATGGAGATAAGTCGATGTACATCCACACAGCAGCTTCAATGCCCTCACAAGCGCGCTAAAAATTACACATGAAGGAATGTTCGCCCACCAACTATCGACAATAAGGCTTCAAAATTCATTTGTTCTTTGGAATATTTTCAGGCTGTTTTGTGCGCTTAATTCCTCCTTAATAATAATAATAATAATAATAATATATATATATATATATATATATATATATAGAGAGAGAGAGAGAGAGAGAGAGAGAAATACGCACATACTTTCATGCCACATCTGATTTGGTAACCCTGCTATAAACTTAATTCCTCCTTAAATAATAGTAATATATATATATATATATATATATATATACAGAGAGAGAGAGAGAGAGAGATACGCACATACTTTCATGCCACATCTGATTTGGTACCCCTGCTATAAACTTAGAGATCCTTGTTAAAATCCAAAGAATCTGCAATGTCATTGGTCCTGATCTAGCATCTCGTCTTCAGTCACTTTCCCCTTTGCCGTAATGTAACCTCACTTTACCTTTTATATATTTTCGTGGTTGGGCACCTCGAGGCGGTGTAATGGTTAGCAAGCTTGTGTCGCTAGGACAATTACGACTGAGTAGTGAGTTCGATCCTCACTGGGTGCCCAAAATATTCGGCCTTGTGCCACATCTAAGTTACACTTGGAAAATCACTATATATTTTCGTGGTAATTTGATATACTCTCCTCTATGGTACCTAGACTTTATGAATTTCAGCGCAGTACTACATTGGCAGCAAAATCGCATAATTTTACGGTTGCAGTAGCTAGATGTAACTGTAAGTCCGATGCTAACTGTTTCTTCTCTCGCACTTCTTGCTTGTGGAACTCTTCCGATTTCTTGTTTCTAGGCAAGAATTTTCGTTTATCTTCCCATGTTGCAACAGATTTACATTCGAACTAACGTCCTCATCTTTGTTGCTAGTACCTCAACGTTTAGGCTGTTGATTTTTTCGGCCTTCTGCAGGTGTCTCTCTGTTTTTATTTTCGTTAACATTAACCGGAAAAGGCATTGAAATAAGTCGTATATGGAGATACAGAATAAACATAAAAATAAGCAAAATGACAAAACAGTAAATTCATCCCTAAAAATAACGGAAAAATGAAGATCATTTATTTATTTATTTATTTATTGAGAGAGAGAGAGAGAGAGAGAGAGAGAGAGAGAGAGAGATGAATTTTGGAAAAAATAAAGGAAGCTTAAAAATGAAACATTTATTTCGGAGATAGGGTGAGAATGAGTAAGAGAGAGAAGTTATTTTGGAAAAAATGAAGGAGTCTTAAAAATGAAACTCATTTCGTAGATAGGATGAGAGAGAGAGAATGAGTGAGAGAGAATGAGTGAGAGAGATTGAGTGAGAGAGAGAGAAAATAATCGGTGATTTTGAAAAAAATGAAAGAAACTTAAAAATGAAACTCGGAGAGAAATAGAGAGACAGCGAGAGAGAGAATGAGAGAAAGAATGTGTGAGAGAGAGAGAAAAGTCGGTGATTTTGGAAAAAAATGAAGGAAACTTAAAAAATGAAACTCATTTATTTCGGAGAGAGGGGGAGTGAGAAGAGAATGAGAGAGAGTGAGAGTTCGTGAGAGTGAGAGAGAGAAAGAGAGAGAGAGAAAATTCGGTGATTTTGGGAAAAAAATGAAGAAAAAACGAAAATGACGGACAAGATATGGCTGTGTGTGCTTTTTTTTTCCCTGAAAATACTCGTGCAACAAAGACAAAAAATAAATAAATTAAAAAATAAAATGTCGATTCCTGGCAAATCAGTCTATTGAAATAAATAAGGACGCGTGCACGATTATATCAATCATTGATACAAAAGTATGCTGTGGCTTGGATGTAATTGAAAAAAAAAAAAAAAAGAAGAAAAAAAAAAGCTAAAATAAAGAAAGAAAAGTAAGGAAAAAATACCTACCATTCCAAATATCATAACGCCTACGAAACCTTCGAAATATATCAAGATATGGCGTCCCAAGGAGAACCCCAGATAAGATTCGAAGTAATCATTAGAACAACTGAAGATGCCGACATGGGGCCTGTCAACGAACTAGGCGAAAATTGAACCGAAAATGAAACACTGAAGAAATGATATATATATATATATATATATATATATATATATATAGAAGAGACGAGAAATAATATAATAGAAAAATTCTATTCCAGTATATGAAGATTTAATCTTTTATCCCGTTTATCCTCTTTTGTGGGAATTAGCGTTGCAAATACTTATATGTAAATAGCGTGAGTTCGAAATTGTGCCAAAAGCCACAAGAGAAATATATTTTTAAAGAGATGAACAGGAGTGTACCTCGAGTATTGTGCTCACCGGATAGCTTCCAGGATTGGTTTCCCTCCAAGACGAATAATCTTAAAAATATATCTTACGTGTCCCAATTTATATTATGTTTACTATTTAATTTTCTTTCTGATTTAAGCAATGCAGTATAGATCTTAAAACATCTTTAACCACAAAAACAAACAAAACAGAAAATGTCACACGCTAAAAGCCTTTATCAATCAATAAACAGAAAGTTAATCTAATATATTGATCGTTTAAAATCTGTTAAATTCTGTAAACAAATAAAATAGATGAAGGCAGACGAAAAAAGAAAAAAAAAACTTTCCCCCCAAAATAGCAGGAAAATCAGGTTGTAAACTATATTTGAAAATGTATGTGTTTCTTAACTCAACGCAGTCTTTGCTATTGTAGACTCATGGTATATACTATATGCTGACATAAATGAACATAGATATTTTTGCGCATGCGCCCTGTACACCATCAAATTTAGCAGTTTACGCGCCACCAAATATAGCCCGATTTCCGACACAGCACAACTGACTTTTTGCTAGAGTTTCCAATCTCAGCAAACGCACCGGAAGCAGAGAGTCTCAAAATGTCTGGAAGCAGAGCGGCTAACCGTATTTCTCAATATCGACCTGTTAACCCTTTTAGCTACACAATTAGCGACAATTAACTTCTAAACCCAAGGGTACATTATTTTTAAGCAAAATATGAAAGCAATTTTCAAAATTATTTTGTGTTCTTTTATTTATTTTTGTTTTCTTCTGTCTAAACCCGAAGCATTAAAATCAAAATATCTTGGCAGAAATATAACATTTCTTTTCAAGACCACGAGTTCAAAAGATTCAGATTAACTAAAAAAAGACGAGTGAAACTCGGTAGCATTCGGCAAAAGTCGGTAATATAAGACGTCATAACGATAAGAATAGAAATAAGGCAAACATTTTGCCATGTACCACTCAGGGTTGGGAGATGTTAATTTGCATTCACCTTTGCTTTTATTGATTATTATTTATTTATCTCTGTTCGTTTGCTTTTTAAAGTTAGAGTGTTTATTTCTTTCTTGAGATGTATGCAGTGTAAGTTTGGCCACCGAAAAATATAACAAACAAAGCTATATTATTAGAGTTAAATGTTTCATTCAGATGCAAAGTTCTGTATGTGATGACGTTCAGGTAAACCTGGAATTCGAAAAGTCAGCGTTCGCGCCAGAAAGTTTTTCTCGTCCGAGTCCATCCTTCAAATCTACAAATCTACCATTCGTCCATGCATTGAATACTGTTGCCATAACTGGTGACCCCGATGTTAATCTCAAGATCCTCGACAAAATCCCAAAACGGATATGCAATGTGATAGGTCCTGACCTGGCATCTCGACACCAGTCACTTTCTCGCAGATGTGATGTGGCTTCCCTCTGTCCTTTCTACAAATATTTTCATGCCAACTGCTCTGACGAGCTATTTTTTTTTACTTGTGCCCCAACTGCATGAACTTAGGCTTGCTACTAGATTGGCATCTAGGTCCCATCCTTTCACTGTCGAAACAGTTAAATGTGACTGCCTCTTCTGCTCCAACAGCTTCTCCGCACTTCCCGACAGTGGAATTCACTTACTCTTACTTGCTTCCCTAATAGATATAATCTTCAAATATTCATATTGTTGAAACTTGACTAATGCATGGAATAATGATACAACACCAAATGTACTTAGAACAAAATGTATTGAAACAAGAAAGTGTACACAATATTTACATATAGTCTTTTGTATATTCTTGGGAAGACCGTTCCTGGAGAATGTGTTGACTTAGTCGCAGTCGGGCAGAGTCTCTGGATTGAATCTCTTGATTCCTCCCCTCGTCTTCCCGGTACCAACCATATTTATATGGTCGGTACTCCACTATGCAAATTAGGTGGATCCTACCACAACACATATGTAATTTCGATCGACATCTTCTGATGGCTTGATCTTGATCCGCATCCTTCTCTTCATCCTTTCCTCAAACACCTCTCTTTACTCTTATTCTCACTCTCTAGTAACACCTTGCGTGCTAGTAACACTCCCGCCTTGTTTGGGGTGAAATGCTTTAAAAAAAATAAAAGAAAAAAAAAAAGTAAAGAAAAGAGGGCGGTAGAAAGATCCAAGGATACCTGAGAGAAAATAGCACGGTTTAAAGTAGATGTTATAAAAAAAAGGTGTCTTATAGCCAGTAGGATGGTTTTAGAACCAATTTTTTTTTTTTTTACAAAGTCTGTATGTTAAAATCTAAGTCACTTAAACTTAAGAAACACCTAAGATTTACAAAGCATATTGATAACATAAAAGTTATACACGAACGCATGGTTTCATTGTATTTTGTTGTTTGAAGTTAAAAATGCGAATGTTTGTATCTTTCTGGCATTATCTAGACAGGTTGCATCACACACCTGCCTGATCAGACAGCTTACATCTTCAGAGGTCATGGCGTAACGATATAACTATGGATGTCCGTCTTGAGACATCTTATTTAATAGGATGAGAAGAAAGCCGTAATGAATGTGTATGTTTACAGATAAGTTGTCGTTGACATTTTAAATTTGTTAATTTTTGTTTAAATTGTTAGATAATTTGTCGACTTTTTAGTATCCCAAATATCAAGAAAGTGTTTTCATACAAATGGGGGTGATAGCGTTGTGGCCTGGGAGCCAAGGGGGACGGAAGCTAATAAAAATTTGGGAATTACTGATTTAAACAGTCGAATTCTGGCCTCTTTAAGCATCATTACTTTCAATCAGTTTTACGTGAGTTTTTCTACTAAAATAAATTTTAATGAACATATTAAGATGTTCCCCATTAGGTTATTAGATCGATGCTAAAGGTAGGTTTGGGTATACATACACCCACACGAGCGGATATGTGTTTACTTATGAATAAGATCGTAGACACTTGAGAACCAATGCAAGCATACAGGTTTATACATATATGAAAAAAGAACAAACACATAAAAAAAAACACCCACTTGCTAGGCTGATGCTAAGAAAGTTTGTTCACAGTTTCGAGCTGGACAATTTTTCTCTCCAGAATCTATCCTACATATTTGTATGATTACCATTTGTCCATGCTTTGAATATTGCTTCGACATATGTTTTAATGCTCCTGCTATGTATTTAGAGATTCTTGATAGAATTCAGAGAAGGATCTGCAACGTAATTGGTCTTGACTTGGCATCTCAGCTTCAGTCACTTAACTACCGCCGTAATGTAACTTCTATGCCTATTCTATAAATTCTGATAACATTTCTGATGGGGCTAGTTTTAAATCGTTGTTTTATTGAACAGACAATGTTATTCTACAGAAGGGGACAAGTTAGAAGTTTCATACAGACGTTGAGGTGTTATGGTGGATGTAGTAAGAAAGGTAAGTAAGAATGTGTTGTTTTGGTGTTAGGAATATTGTTTGTATGTTTGGATCTGTGGTTAGCTAAATTTAATGTTAAGACAGAAGAAAACCGTCCTTTTCCTCATTCCCCATTTTGGCCTTGCGCCACATTTCTGTATATAACAATAAATATCGCTCTTCGCTATTGGGGTTTAGAATGTAAATTATTGTTTAATTCCTCTCTCCCCACAGAGAAAGATTGTACATATGGTGACTAGTTAGGTCTTTCATGGAGATTCTGAGGTATTATGGTGAATGAAGTAAGAAAGGAAGGAAAGACAGTGTTGTTTTGGCGTAAAGAATATTGTTGTATGTTTAGGTCAGTGTTTGTGGCTACCTAAGTTTAACGTTAAGACAGAACAAGACCGTCCTTTTTCCCCATTCCTCATTTTGGCCTTGTGCCACATTTCTGTACATAGCAGAATAAATATCGCTCTTCGCTATGGTACTACATACCACAGTGGAAAGTTGTTAAAATGTTGTTATTTATATTCCCCACACCCAGACAAGTTGTACATATGGTAACTAGATCAACCTTTTGTCCTTGTGCCATATTTTTTATTACTCAAAATAAATATTACTTTCCGCTATGGTACCTTGACTTTATGAATTTAAGTGCTGCACTAGACTGGCAACAGAGTCTCATCAATTTACAGCTGAATTGGCTAGATGCATCTGTTAGTTCCGTGTTAACAGTTTTGTCTATCGCACTTCTTGCTTGTGGATCTCGCTTCCCGTTTTATGCTTTCCAGCCAACTTAACCTTCAGAGATTTAAATGCAATGTCGTTTGTTATTTTCTGCCTATTTGATTCCTTTTATTTTCTTTTTCTCGCTCCATAATAATATTTCTTTTTTCTTATTCTTTTACACTCCGTAACCCCAATGTCTTGGTGGCTTTACTGTCTTGCCTGGGGTTAAAGACTAAAGAAAATACACATATATAGGATTTCATATAATTAAAGAGAAAGATATTAT